GAACGGTTACCATACTGGGCTGCCACGCTGCCAAGGTCCTGGTTTCGATTCCCCCGGCCGGGAGAAATATTTGTATGGTCTGCGTTTATTTCTCACGTGAGTTTGGGTGTCATTTGTGGTTGTCTATGTGTACATGGCACTCGCGATACAGGGTGTCCCTAGTGCGGGGCTATGAGTGTGTGACAATATTTACGCTCATATAAATATTTAGAGAAACGCAAAAAAAAGGGTTAAATTATGATAACAATGTTCATAATGAGCCACTGGCCACATATACGAACGTTTATTTTGAACAAAGAATGTCTTCAATTGTTTTTTTTTTTTTTTTTTCGATAAAAAGTTCTGTTCCTCTACCACGAGATTACAGTGACAGAAAAAAATGGCGGGTTTCTTAGTCACGGTTTTTACATGAATTAATTTTTACTTTAAGCATATTATGTTTTGAGTTTGTTAATTTGTTTGTTACTTTTTTAAGCTGATGTCTCTACAGCCAATGCTCAATAAATAAATAATAATAATAATTTCAGTGACAGTCATCCCGTGAAAATGTTCATATACAAAATGTTATTTCTTCTTATGACCGCTATTTTTGCCATACAAAATTGTGAAGTAATTCACGCGGTCGCTAGCGACAATTGTCCTAATAAACTCGTGGTAGAGGCACTGACATAATGTGGCCCGTGGGGGTAACCTAACACAAACTCGAATTTTGTTTTCCCGAAATAACGTTTGTTCGAATTTTCATTACACCGAAAACCGAATTATAACGAAACCGTTGTTCTTTCAGGATACGTTGGATGTTTATCGCAAAGACACAATTAGATTCGGTTAAGTTAAGTTTAAAAGAAAATACATTTTCCTCTCAAAATTACTTTCGAGGTTATGAAAATTCGAGCAAACGTCATTTTTGGAAAATGTCATTTCGGACTATTGATAGCTAACCGGCCGTATTAAACGTTGTTATCATAATTTAAACTTTTTTAGCGTTCTTCTAAATATGTCCATGACTATATTTTAATTCATGAACTCTAGATAGCTTTAGAACGTGTTCGGTCCACTTGGGATGAGATCCACCATTCATACATATGTCTGTTCTTCTTAATATTAGACCGTAGTTTGCTGTACTAGCTCATTGATATAGGGGAAAGTTGCGATCATTGCGATCGCAAAGTTTAGATAAATATAGTCTACCTATCCCAAATAATGTCAATTTTTAATGTACTTATGTGATTTCACGAATTCCGAAAAGATCGATCCTTTCCTCGATTTCCGAAAGATCGATCCGAAGAGATTGTAAGACAAAAAAATATGTCTTAAGGTAGTCTCCACTTTTCTGTGTCTGTTCCTCGAAGTTTAGATAAAAAATCTCTACCTATTCCGATCACTGATAATTACAAATTAATAAAGCGTGAAACACACTGATAGCGGATACAGGTCGGGCGCGGGTCAGGTCGGGAGCGCGGCGGGTGTAATTCCGTCCATACAAATACACAGAATTACACCCGCTGCGCTCCCGACCCGCAACCGCTTTCAGTGTGTTTCACGCTTTAAGGTCTCTAGAATAAAATATCTGGTTTCATTTTTCAAATTTTTTTGTCAAGATATTAGAACACGTAGACCACTTAGTCCAATGATAGCAGCCTTCCCCTAGGGAACTTATATACAAATAAGGGAATCACCATACTTATCGACACGAAATCGTATTAAAAACATATATATAAGAACATGACGCGCTATTCTTTTCATACACACCAGTTACTTAAGACGTAGCCTTTTCGAAAGACATCTAAATCTGGTATATTACGATCTAGGTTCCTTCCACGTTCTTTTTTTTAAATAATATCAAGTGACGGGACGAACTAGTTTTGCGCCTGATGGTAAGCGACACGCCTATCTATGACAGTTGCAATGCTAGTCGGGGCTTTAAATCGCAAGATCAAGGGGCACTGCCACTGGAAACACAAGCACTGGAAATACGACCCTAATGGCAGGGACTTGAGTATGATTTCGAGTGCTTTAAACCATACTCAAATCCTGACTTGAGCATTGAGTAGAGTTCTAGAATACGACTCTGAGACACAAGTTGACAGTCCCATGTGCCTGTAATTTAACAAGCAATAATGCTCACATTTAATGTTTGGCGCCAGTTTTTTTTTTATTTTTATTTCATAAATGTTTTATTCAGAGGCTGAATCATTACAATAAAGTGGTTCGAGACTTTCTTTTAAATATGTAAATACTTGTGCTAGGGATTAGGGTCCTTCCTTATGATACAGTAACTGTTAAATTGTTAAATCGTTAAATTGATAAAAATGTTAAATTGAGGTTACGCATAAAAAATGTAATAATAGCGTGCAAAATTTTTACAGTAAAAGATACAAAATTGTGAATGATTCACAGCGTGGTGTGTGTGTGTGTGTGTGTGTGTGTATGTGTGTATGTGTGTGTGTGTGTGTGTGTGAAATGCGTGGTGTGTTTGAGAAATAGGTAAAGGTTATTATTACTATAGGTGATAATGCTTTTAACGACTCTACCTCATTTTAATTTATTCATTAAATATAACGACCAAGCCACTGTCAAATGTTGAATGGAAAGCCACTGCCGCAATAAGTCAGGCTGCATCACTCAAGCCCTAAATTCGGGTGTTCAATTGAATGACATAAAGCTTTTTCTGATCGGTTCAAGCCGAATTTGCATTATTGATAAATGTGGTAACTCCCTTATACTTCCCACCAAACAATGTTCGGGCCGTTTGTGTACCTATAGTGCAGCAGCGCGTAAAATGTTATTAACGGAAGAGGAACCGCCCATTAAAGAGCTTAACCTACTAGAGTAGTATGTCCAATGCGTTATGTGACTTGAATGTAAATTTTCAGGGTTGCCTTTTTGTTGCAAACAGATGGGGTTTATACTTTCTCATATATGACTCTCCACTTTTAAAGTTAAACAGAGAACATAGGTAAAAATCAGTCAATCAATCAGCCTATTGCAATCCACTGCTGGACATAAGCCTCCCCAAGTGTATGCCATAGTGCCCGATCACCCGTTTTCCGCATCCAACCACTACCCGCGACCTTCTTCAGATCGTCGGTCCATCTTGCAGGGGGACGTCCTACGTTACGTTTGCCGAGACGTGGTCTCCACTCAAGAACCCGTCTACTCCATCGCTCATCGGTTCTGCGACAGATGTGGCCAGCCCACTGCCACTTCAGCTTGCTACATTTCTGGACGATGTCCACAACTTTAGTCTTATGCCGATAACTTCATTCCGGATTTTGTCCCTTAACGAGATACCCAGCATAGACCTTACCATAGCTCGCTGAGGGACGTGTAGTCTGTGAGCCAGTTTGACCGTCATATTCCACGTCTCGGCTCCGTAAGTCATGACCGGTAGGACGCATTGGTTGTAAACCCTGTTTTTCAGGCACTGTGGGAGTGGTGACGAGAAGACATGACGCAGTTTTCCAAATGCTGCCCAACACTGCTGCACTCTCTTAGCTATTTCACGCTCGAAGTTTTTCACGCAGGGTTTGCCCGAGGTAAACATATTCTCGGACAATTTCAAGCGTTTCGCCATTAATCGAGATCGGCCCCGGGATGACGAGCTCATTGAACAAGACCTTAGTCTTGTCCAAATTCGTCCGAAGACCGACCGATAATGAGGCAGCATTAAGGCTGTTCAACATTTTTTTCAGGACAAGGTACGCTACCCGGGTCGATACACTGGACATCTCCAGCACGTTGTCACGGAGAACTTTGTTGACAAGGAACCCTACGCCTCCTTGGGATAGTTGGTCGCCCTCTCGAAAGTAGAACAGGTGGCCAGATTCTAGAGTAGTCGTGTCCTCCCCGTCTTCGAACTTCAGACAATCCTATCATATGCCACCTTATTTTCTCTAGTTTCACCTCGAGTTGCATCAAACTTTCGTCCAGCCGCAGACTGCGTCCATTATACGTTGCCAAGGTCAATTTGTGGCAGCCTTCCGTAACCCGGGGATTCTTCGCACCCCCTGTCTTACCGTTACCGAGGCCGCTGCCTTGGCCCGGAATAGTAAGACGGCCGGAACTGGGGGCCGTTTCTTTCTTGGCTTTGACATTTGGGGGTTAATGCCCAGTGTGGTGAACACTGGGCAAACGGGTTGGTGAGCACAGAGCCGAGTATCGCGTCAACAGCGCTGCTGCCCGCCGCTGACCAGGGTACTTAGGACTCGGCCTGTAGATGGATATACCGCCATCGGTTTCGGTCGCCAGAGCCTCGTTCGTTTGTCGGCAGGGTGCACCACGTGCAGGTGAGGATGACATAAAGAGGAAATAATTTGTATAATTCCAACTTATAAATACGCTACTACTACTATTGTATTGTATGTACTGTATATGACTGTATTACTGACCCGTCATGTGTACTAGATAAACATGGTGTTCCGAACAGTGTTGGTACTGTAGGGGTGTAGCGTCCTAGAACTAGTAGCAATAGAGCAGCTTGTGAAGAAGAAGAAATAGTTCGTTCAGGGAAGTACTGCCACCTATTTCTGCGCCAAGCAATAATTTTCTTTTTTTTCGCAAATTACTGCGTTTCAGTTTGTAAGAGTATGTGAAATTAGAGGTACATGGTACTTGCCGATTTGTCTCAAGGTGACGGGCGCAATGCCCCTAAGATCTGTGCGATGTAAACCTCTGTGGCACTGCAACTATTATGAATAGGCGTGTCGCTTACCACCAGGCGTATGACTCGTTCGTCCCATCACTTAGTATTACAAAAAAAAGCCACACGCTGTCTCTAACGCGAGGCTGTGTTGTCATCCACCTTTTTAAAAGAATTATAAACAAATACATAAAAATAGTAAAAAATGTTTTCCAATATCGTTAGAGACACCGTGTGAACGCATGGCAGTTTTAAAGTTTCTTATTTCCAGTGGTAGTAAGATTAATCACACAAAAAAAAACTCAATTTATTAGAATCTAAAAAGAGATAAAAGTTTATTAAGAATATTAAAAATTATATACCAAGCACAAACACTATTAGGTTAAAGTTAATTCTAGTTTGTCTTTAATTTTTGTACTTTTGGCAAACATGTTGGTAGAGACAACTGTTGGTAGTTGAAATAGAGAAAAAACAGTATAAATTGAGAACAGGAATACACGGAAATCAATAGTGCAAAGAGATCAGGATATTGTGGTGGCGGTTGCAATAGAACTGCAGCCTGGGTTAGCAAAAACATAAAGACAAATGAGAAAAAGAAATTGATACTTAATAGTTTGAGCAACATTGATTTCTCACTCTTTGGATTTATGATTGTGTAAACTTCTTCCGCATTGAAAATTGAAAAAAAACCTACTTTTGGATGAGCAAGTTTTAGACAAATGCTGTAAAAGCAGATGTATATTATGTTAGTAGCAATGAATGGCATCAAGAGGCCATCTTTTAAGAGTAACGGTAGCATACTAAAGTTCGACAGAATCAGAAACCAGAAACACATAAACGGATCATCAGGGAAGTGCATGCAAATTGGTACAGCTACCAACAAGATAGTTTTCTCATGAACTTGAAATGAAAACAGGAAGAAAGCCAATGATACATTAATAAGAGATAGGACAAACTTTTTCCTATTAATTCTGAAGAACAAATCTATACAGGATGGTAGCACAGCCAGCGCTGTTGTTGCCAAACACACTTTAGCCATTTGCTCATTGGTATATAGAGATTTTAGTTTAACAAATACATTTAGAAAACACCACACATTTGAGACTTTGTCTTCAAACACTCCACGCTTCAAAGGGAAAATCCTGTGTACCACTTGAGATAACGATTCCCAAGAATGAATAAAAGGATACCAGATTATTACAAACATAGCTATAACTGCTATAGCTAATTTGTTGAGGTTATGGATAAAATATTTTAATTTACTTTTAGGAGGAAGTCCAATGAAACATTTCCGTAATAAATAGAAGAAAAATGGTAACACATGATACAATTCCATCTGCTTATAATTTAAAGCGAGAACAAAGAATATTGTTGCTAAAATGTCATTCTCAATAGCGACTATGAAGAAAGCAGACCATAAAAAGAGTCCCAGCGACACACAATTGTACTGAAAATGTCCATGGTCTATCAATATCAACCCAGGATACAATAAAAACAAAATTGTTGATATGTCTGTCCTTTTAAACACATTACTGTCCTCTTTACTCTTCACTCTTTCAAGATCTATGCACAAACAGAGCACTGCAGAAACATAAAAGTAGATATCACTAAGGAACACAGTCCAACGCATGAATGTTTTGTGGGTGTCTTTTTCATAACCTCTCGATGCGAAAAGCCGCACCGATTCTGGGTCTAGCCAGTCAGCAACGAGCCCCACGATGAAACTGTGGTATGCAGTGAGCGGGGGATAGTCCAGACCCCAGTACTGAAGATCATTTTGAGTTGTGTTAAAGTACCATTGTCTGATAGGCGTGTGCACGGTTATCTCCTGCCAATGCCTTTGTGCTTCAAAATCACCGAACATGGGAGGCTTATTGTGTCCGGAATAGGGATATGCAGCCACGCACCATCGCACAAGGAGGCAGAAAAACACCCCAGGTAGCAAAAGATCTTTCGTCACACTAAATCTGTCCGGATCAGATTTTTTCGACATTGCGTAAGGAGTAACACTGATAGCAACGCGTGAGATAATTCATTCATGAAATAAATAATAGCACAACGCGACAACACTACAGGTCAATAGAAATTATGAAATCTGACAGATCGTACTTACGACATGAACGGCGTCCAATTCCTTGGTCAGCTTTTCCTTCAAATATCCTTCCGTATACACCATATTCGTCACTTATAATCCGTGAAACATGAAATAGATATTACGAAAATCATCCACAGTCCATGAAATTAATGCAACCCACTCAAAAATTTACCATACGGGCGCATGAGTTCAACGCTTGTAGTACCTATCGGAATTTTATTCGAAAGTGAGAAATTGAAATGAGAAAGTGGCACGGGAAAGTGAACTTGAAAATCTTGATGAAATTGCGGTCGGCGAACTGACGAATTTCACTCCGGATGTGTAATCCGACCATTTTTAGTAATCTCGAAATCAAACGGAATTTATAAATTCTTTTTGGTTACTTAATTTTGTAGCATATTCGTGACCTTGACCCATGGAGTAGGGTTGGCACTGGAATTTCGATTACGACGAAACGACTGTAAATTTTAAATCGATTGCATTTGTGGCATTTTAATTATTAGTTCATTTATATTTTAAGATTCAAATTCAGTCAGAAAGTCTAAAAAGAAGTAATTGAAACGTCATGATACAGTCATTATATGACATTTTAGCAAATTCTGAAATAAACATTTCTCGATTTTGATTTTTTCGACATTCACGAAACTTGAAGAAAATTGCATCATGAAAATGGAAGGAGAAACTGCGGCTTTGAAAAGAAATTTAACTGAGTGGAGATTCAGTCAGTATCCTAAGTATATTTTGTTGCCTATCGACGAAAATCATGACCAAATTCGGTCAAATATAAAGAACGTTGTATTTTCGGAGGTACTTACTTTCTATGTTGTTTTAATTTTCGTACTGGAGCAATTTTATTTGTACTTTCACAAATCATTACGAATGTCGTAGGTAACACCTCGGCCTTTGGAGCGAAACATACGCCTAGTTTGTGCGTCTGAAGACGCCTTGACGAGCATTTTAGATATGGATCCAGAAATTACTGAAAGGGAAGAATTTGCAGAATTTATTGCGGGCAGAAAACTTCCGTATGGAGCTCTCCCTGTAGCTCATCGGTAAGAAACCCCAGCGTTTAATTTTCAGTTTCGTTCAATTCAAGCGTTTTATTCGTATGAATTATCCAAATTAATCGTGCATATTGTTTACCATTAGATACGGAGGTCATCAATATGGCTTATGGGTTGGGCAGCTAGGAGATGGAAGAGCTCATATTTTAGGAGAATACGTAAATCGGTAACAAAAATTTATTTTATGTTTCTTTGCTATACATCTGTTGGCAGGCGCTTTACTTTTCCGCCACGTCAATTTTTAAAGTAAATGTAACGTTTATCTGCAACAGGCATGGTGATAGATGGCAAATACAGCTGAAGGGGTCTGGACAGACGCCGTATTCTCGTGTTCACGACGGTCGTGCTGTATTGAGAGCTGCGGTTCGAGAAATGATAGCATGCGAAGCTTGTCATTTTTTAGGCATACCAAGTGTGAGAGCTGGTGGTTTAGTTGGTACATAACCTCTTTTAAATATGTGCAAGTAATTTGAATTTGTGTTTATTTGCTACTTCCTATTTCCTATCTAAATAGGTATGTACAGCCGTAGTAGAAACAAAACTCTTTTCACAAGTGGAATGAGATATCGAATTTTGGATTTCTCTGTTGTTAACCATAAAACACACTATGTAACAAGAAGTACTTACAAATTAACATTACATAATTTAAAATCTTTCTGCAGTTAGTGATGAAGCTGTAGTTAGAGACCTGTACTATACTGGGAATCCAAAACGTGAAAGAGCAGCGGTACTTCTTCGATTGTCTCCAAGTTGGTTCCGGTTTGGCTCTCTCGAAATATTATCACGAACTGGAGAGATTGCCGTATTAAAACAGTTGTCGGATTTTATCATCAAGGTAACAGTTGACGTGTAAAAATATGCATATCCTTATCCTGACAATCGAGTTGGTAATAAGACATTAAATTTTCAGGAGTATTTCCCTGATATCCATCTGACTGACGAAAATCGTTTTATCAGATTATTTTCTGAAATAGCGCATCGTACTTTGGATTTAGTTGCTAAATGGCAAGGTAAGTAGTTATTAGGACACACTGATCAACTATATGCATTATAAAATAAAATAATTATAAAATAAAATCTCACGAGGTGTTCTTTTTCCAAGAAATAAAACGTCCATGTCAACAAACTAACCAATCAGGTAAGGTAAGCACAGTATCATTGTTACAGGCCTAGGATTTACCCACGGTCTCCTAAACACAGATAATATGAGTCTCCTTGGCCTCACCATGGACTACGGTCCATTTGGATTCGTCGATTCTTACGATGGTGGTTTCGTCGCCAACTGCTCAGATGGAGAAGGACGATATGCTTTGGCTAAGCAGCCGGATGTATGCTTCTCCATTAAAATACCTTTAGATTAATACTTGAATCACATTCTACCAGCTTAGCAGCTTTTTGTCTGCCCGTGGTTTCAGGTGGTTGTATGGAATATTGGCCAACTAGCTAACGCTCTTAAGCCGCTCTTGAATTCATCTCAACAGGTTCACATGTCGCATTTATTGAAGACTTTGGACACATACTGCAAGAACAAGATTTTGTAAGTATTCGTATAAAGTAACCATATTTACGGTAAAATATACAGAACTGCAATAAAATGATCACTTATGCAAAATATTAATAATAACAGCTTGATTCTTTAGATATTCACCAACATGCTTAATGTTGTCTTCTTGTTTTGTTGATACTTTTTTGTAGGGAGACATTTTTAATGAAGATTGGTCTAAAAGAAGAGAGATGGGGCGATGAGCAATTGGTAGAGAAACTGCTGGATATGATGCAACAGACAGGTGCTGATTTCACGGCCTCGTTTAGGCAGCTTGCAGAGGTAATTCTACGTACAAAGTGTTAGATAATATATTAAAATAATGAAGGTAAGGAAAATTAAGGTTCGTGTTTTTACAGTTAGAACCATGTGAATTGGTAAGCGAGACTAAATTAGATGAGAAATGGTCTCTGAAGCGCCTCTCGTCCCATGCTTCATGGGGCTGCTGGCTTGATCAATACCGCGAAAGACTTGACAAAGAAGCTGGTCAGTTCTACTTGGCTTTTATTTTCAATAACTTACATACAGCAGCTGAAAACTTGACCCACAACGCTACGCAAAGCAACTATTAGCCTCTGTAGATAAGTAGTTTTCACAATTTCAGTTGATGCAAGTTCTGTAGGAATGTTTGAAGATGAACGTCGCAGACGCATGCTTAGTGTAAATCCGGCGTATATTCCCCGTAATTGGTTGCTACAGGAAGCTATCACTGATGCTGAGAATGACGACTATGAGAAAGTACGTACCTATTGCAGTTTATGTCTAGTATATTGAAAAAACAACAGCTCTGAAAATAATTTTATCTCCTAGGTGCGATTTCTACTAGAAGTAATGCGTAATCCTTATGAAGTCCAATCCGAAGCAGAAAAGCGCGGGTTTTCAGCCCAACCGCCGCAATGGGCTTACGCCTTAAAAATTAGCTGTTCCAGTTGAATGTGATTTTTCAATCATGGATATTAAATTGTTTAAAATTCCGCTATCGTTTTCTTATTTCGATTTTTTTTAAATATACGTTTCATCGGTGAAGTCTTGGTGAAATTAATTCTTCACCTTGTGCATTCCACCCATATTCCACCGGAAATTAATACGCTCATCGCGCATCACTATTTGTCAGTGTCAATTAAAATGTCAAAGTAGGTACCTAAAGTTTTATATAGTAAAATAGGTACTTGTTTTTGTGCAATTTATTTCTATTTAATTTTGGCATGATTTAGCATAAAATGCTCGTCGGAGTGATATTATCCGAGTGTGATATCAGTAATGTTTATCTCAATTTAATAATTAAGAAACGTGACTGTGCTAATGCGGCGCGCATTCTGTGTTTTGGCGGCGGTGATGAACCAGCAAAGTTATAAAGTCGGAAACACCATGAAAACGATAAAAGACCTCAAGGAGTGGAAGTTCAAAAGTTCACCGAGCTATGCAGAACTTCCTATTGACGAAAATCCGGAGTATAACGTGCCAATGGCCGTAAAAAATGCAGTGTTCTCTAAGGTAAAATATTTTGTTCCTTTTAATGCGTAATCACCGAAATATGTAGATATAATGGTGAAAATTTCACTAATATATGTCCCTATGTCAATGTGACGATGTCCGAGGTCGAGGGGCTTGCGCACCGGTTTTCATCTCTGAGGTCCCGAATTCGTTCACCGGCCGGGTCAATATAGACAAACTAACTTCTCTATATTGTCTCGGGGCCTGTGCTTATGGTACCATCGTTTTCCTTTCCAATTTCCATAACAATAAGTGCTTTAGTTACTTTTAGATCAGAGCAACATATCGACCATGAACTGGCAATCATCAAATGAAATAAAAAGTGAAGTGTACATGTATAATATAAAAAATATTTAAAAACTACGTATTTTTATTTAACAAATCAGATGCTATATAAATGATTTGTTCTCCATCCTGTAAAGTTATCGAAATTGTAATGGTACTGGTTGCCAGTTCACATTTGATGTGTGATTTGCCTGTTATCGATAGGCGTATCACGTACCACCAGGCTCACAACTTATTCGTCCCTCCTTATTCGTCCCACTTTGTATCATAAAAAAATTAAATAATATTTGTATTTATTATTTACTATGTTTATAATACGCAAATGGATGTTCCAGGTACCGACAGAACCGTTAGTCGGAACTCTACACCTTGTTTGTGCATCAGAAGACGCTCTTAGAGACTTGCTAGACCTGGATCCGGTAGTGGCAGACACTGAGGAGTTTGTCAATTTTGTTGCTGGGAAATACCACCCAGAAGGATCATTGACTGTATCACACAGGTAATAAAGTGATCAACTGTTTGGTACTTAAAGTATGTTTGTTGGTAAAGGATAGTACTGTTTGTTGTTGAAAATATAGATAGATATAGCATTTATTCAGCACATTACATCACAGTGTTACATATAACAAGAGAAGGAAAGTTACAATAAATAATATACTGAAAAGGTTTCGGCTCAGCACAATGCTGCCAACTTTATATGTTTGCAGCACTGATAGTCGTCCGATACATAAATGGTTGCACAAGCAAGCCGCGCGGCAACGAACAGTCGTAGTCTAACTGTATAGAATTTAATTGTTTAATAATAACATGCGTAATTAAATGCTTGTTAGCTTGATAATGAAATCAGTCTTTGAATATACATATTTTACAAGTGTTAAAAATCACTAAGTTGTTTGAAGTTTTCAACATTTTTTACAACATTAACTTGTAAGCGAAAAATAATCAACTTAAAAGCCAATCACATATGTATGTAAAATACATATTATTTATTACATAGACAGGAACAGAATTTATTGCAATTGTGTGGAAATATTGTATTATTATATTATATACATATAGTAAAGAATTACCGAAGCTGACACTTCATTAAATAAATTTTTCATCATACTGATTGTACACTGATCAAATTCATTGGTGGAAGCCAAATTGATACTAAATTGGTTTCAGGTATGGAGGATACCAGTTTGGTTTTTGGTCGGATCAGCTGGGCGATGGAAGAGCTCACATTCTTGGAGAATATGTCAATAGGTAACTTATGAGTTAATAACCCTACATTCCTCAAGCCCATAAGTAATTTCCATGAAAATTTACAATAAACTGCTTAATGTACTGAAAAATGAAACCAATGATAGAATATTCAAAAAAAAACTAAATTTATTTTTTATTTTTTTTTTATTGTTAAAAATGGACGTACTCTTGATCACTACCTAGCCCTAGAGCAAAGATGAGGTCTACGTTGGTACGAGCTCGCCCAGAAGATGCCTATTCAAACGCACCTTGAAAATATTCGGGTTGTATGTACTCGGAAAAATAGACGCAGGCAGGGAATTCCAGTCACGGGCTGTGCGCATTATAAAAGATGACGAAAAGCGCTTAGTACGTCTTAAAGGAATATCAACCAGGTGAGGGTGATATCCCGCCGTTCGTCTAGATGTCCGATGGTAAAAGGGGGCGGATGGAATGAGCTGGTGGAGCTCATGGGCACACTCTCCGAAGTATAATCTGTAAAAAACCGACAGACCCGCGACCTTTCGCCGATGGGCTAAACTATGAAGTTTATATTCGAGCTCATCGTCGCCAATAAGCCTCCTGGCTCTGCGATCAATCGAGTCAAGAGCCTCTAGTTGGTATTTCGCTGAGCCATCCCACAGGTGACTGCAATACTCCATGCAAGACCGGACCTGCGCTTTATATAAGGTTAAAAGCTGTCCAGGCGAGAAGTATCGCTTCACCTTGTTAAGGATACCCAGCTTCTTGGCTGCAGTTTGCGCTTTAGATTCTATAGAAGCGCCAAAGTTGAGGTTTGCGCTTAATGTCATGCCAAGAAGCTCTAGGCGGTCGGTAACTGGGACAGATACACCCCGAAAAGTAGGAGTCAGATCAAATGGACTCCTTTTTGCGGAAAAAAAAGAGAGGCCTGCGTTTTGGTGGCGTTGAAGCTGACCAGATTGTTGTCATCCCACTGGGCAACAAGACTTAAGGTCAGGTTCGTTCGCTCTACCATAGCCTCTCTCAGCGAACGAATATCTTCCCTGCCGTCTCTTGCGCTAGACAGGTATCTCTCGGTAACTGTACTGTCATCTGCATACCCAACTATACCCGGGACCAATAGGTCATTGATGTGTAGCAGGAAAAGAGTCGCCGAGAGAACAGACCCTTGAGGAACTCCAGCATCAATAGCCATCAAGTCAGATGAGCAGCCTTCAATGACTACTCGAATCGACCGTTCCCCAAGGAAATCTGATATCCAGCTGCAAAAGTCGGCAGGGATGCCGTAAGCAGGAAGCTTGCTCAGCAAACTTGCATGCCAAACCCTGTCGAAGGCCTTTGAGATATCGAGCGATACGGCCAGTGCCTCACCGTGTTTCTCGATGGCCTCGCCCCAGCAATGCGTAACATACACGAGAAGATCCCCAGTTGATCGTCCCCGGCGGAAGCCATATTGACGATCACTGAGTAGGTCATTTATTTCAAGGTATGATAGCAGCTTACCGTTCAGAACTCTTTCCATAACCTTGCAGAGTATGGAAGTTATGGCGATTGGTCTGTAATTACAGGGGTCGGCGCGGCTTCCCTTTTTAGGGACTGGTTGCACATTTGCAAGCTTCCATGATTTAGGCACTATTCTCGTTTTTAGTGAGAGGCGGTACAGACACGTCAGTACAGGAGTTAGCTCAGGCGCGCAAAGCCTCAGTACCCGTGCTGGTATACCATCAGGACCACTGGCCTTATTCACATCTAGACTTCGCAGAGCTCTACGAACCTCTTTTGCGTGGATTGTGACCTCCGGCATTGAAGTGTCACAACGAGGTAAATTTGGTGGATGTTTTGAGCCTGCATCTAGATGCGAATTGCTTGCAAACATTGCAGCAAATAAGTTTGCTTTATCCGTTGCAGAGTGAGCCAGTGATCCGTCAGGTTTTTGCATGGGAGGCAAGGTGGGACGGCAGAAGTTGGATTCAACTGCTTTGGACAGGGACCAGAACTGCTTACTACCAGGAGGGTAGGATGCAAGCCTGGTCCCGATCCTGCTGATATGGTTGAATCTGGCCTTCCGGAATTCGCGTTTGCAGGACTTGGCGGCAGAATTAAAAGCTCTCTTTCTCGCGCGAACCCTCCGGGCTCGAACTTTGCGGTCGCGAGCTTGTACCCATGCTGCATTACTACTTACTAAGCTAAACTAGACTTGTTATTATGATATGAATGAATTCCTTAACAGAACCTTTTAGGAAAAAGGCAAATTCGAAAACAGCCCACTTACTCTCTTCCCTCCTAATTTGTTGTGCTCGAGAGAATCCATAATGTGATCTTTGTGCTATATATAACCTTTTATACCATTGTGTACTGCAAATAAACATTTTGAATATTGAATATTAAGTAAGAAGATAGATTAGTAGTAGTTTCTTTTGTGTTTTACTTTAATTGCAATTGATGAAACAATGACAAGAGAGGAGAAATGTTTCTTAAAAAAGTCCTATGCCATCAAAGTTGAAGGTAGAGTGTGGTGGTAACATTATAGTTATCGTAAATTCAGCAAAGGTGAAATCTGGCAACCACAACTGAAAGGCTCTGGTGAGACTCCATACTCAAGATTCAGCGATGGGCGCGCCGTGCTGCGTTCCTCCATTCGCGAGATGGTTGCATCTGAAGCTTGTCACCATCTCGGCATTCCTACCACAAGAGCTGCAGCTTTGGTGGGTGGGTACAACTTTTTTTTGTATTTACAGGTCTAAATGTAGGTCATTTAGAATGAAAAGCCAAGTCCTTGAGAAAGCTTTAGATGTTTTAAGCTAATGGTTAGGTTCGCATTCTAGCGACTACGCGCGCCTCTTCTCGTTGCCAATGACTTTGATGTTTTATATATATATATATATATATATATAAAACATCAATTTTATATATATGTATATATATAAAATTGTGACGTGTCACGACACTACACGTCAGACAGAAGTAAATCCGGCTGTAGACGGATTTTGACGATGTGCAATATTTACAGAATGTTGTTAAGTGTATAACATGCTAACTGAAACAAAACATTGCCGTAAAACCTATGTCGAATTTAGAATCGTGTCAAGTCCTTAACCAGTATTAGGGTTAGGGTATAGTTGTAATAGGCCGACGAATTTCGCAGAATTATCATGTTTATTTTTTTTTTGCAGTAAGCGACGACCACAAAGTATGGCGAGACAAAATGTACACCGGTGCGGCGCGACAGGAGCGCGCAGCCATCGTGATGCGATTGGCGCCTGCGTGGTACCGGCTCGGATCTATCGAGATACTCGATAAACGAAAGGAGCCTAACACTATGAAGACACTTGTTGATTTCATTATCAAAGTGAGTTTTATATCCATAACCTAAGTTACGCGACGTTAAGTTTAGGGATGTACGATTTTTTTTGCTTTGAATCGATTTTTTGGATCGTAATGGATCATATACCTCTGAAACGATCTACGGATCGGATCGTTCTGAATAGTCTTCGCAAAATGTCACAAAGCCGTTTCAAAATTTGTAATAATTAATACTTTTATTACATGATTTCATTGCTATAAATAATTAATTTGTTATAGTTGTTAATACAAAGATCAAACACTTAGAAAAAATTCTTCGAGGTCTCCTAGCATACCGTGCCAGACGCTATGCCAACTAATCCGGCCGGTTCGAAGGAATTATTTCTGAGTGTTAGATCTTTGTATTAATAATTATAACATAATAGTGGAGTAATTTCACAAAAAATAGTTAAATATCAATTTAATAAATTTTTATTGCTTTTCACGGATGCCAATCCTTTACATATAACTCAATTTTTCAATGATAATGTCATCTAAGCAACTTAATGTCCTAAACGTTGTTGTCCACTTTATTTTCCGTTTCTGTACTTGACTAAATCATTACTAAGATTGAGACTTTTGTTTAAATTAATAAGATCTAGACGATTCGATTCGCCTTAATTTTAAATTGATATAATTTTTTTGATGAATGATGATTTGCTTAAAAATCGCATTGAAATGTATCCTTTCGTAATGTGCATCCCTAATTCAGGGTTACCTATCACAAGCTAGAAACATGATTTACAGAATTTTGTTTCTCCAAAAACCTTTAAACTTTTATTGAATAGATTTTGTTTCATTTGTCCAAATACACCATTTAATGTTTTACTATCTATATTGACATATAGACAAGTTATTATATTCTTTTTCCGATTTTTATTTCCCCAACTAACTGTTTGACCAATGTATCTAATTGAATATTTTTATTTTGTAAAAATACGATATTCATGATACATTTTTGTTATATTATTTCTTATTACAGATATTAAAAGTATAAGAAAGTGTCGCACAATACGACTCGTTAAATTAAATCACCTAGCATTTTTAGAAATCATAGTAAACGAGATGCAAGTTAATTTGGTCGAGTTGTAGTCGCTCGCTTCGCTCGGTCGGATCGTGCTGGTTTTTCATATACTAACCTAACCTAATCCTACAGGAGGGGGTCGTACCGTTTTATCTTAGTTATTTTATCTTGTATGGCGGTACAATTTTATCTAAGAATAATAATTTTGTCGAAACGAATTTTCAGCAATCTAAATTATATGGAAAACAGACAGTATAACAAACATGATTACACCAAACAAACTTCTGCCCAAAGAATACGTATGTGTAATAATTATTCTAATAATAGGTTTTCGGACAAACGATACTTCTGTTGTAAGACATTTCTGTGTTCCAAATTTATACTAAAACTGTCATCGCACTAATGAAAAAAAGTCGAACCGTTTTCGGAGTAATAAAATTCGGAAAAAAGAAAATCGAGTTTGTGATAGGTTACCCTAATTTAGTTGTCGATTGTAGTTCAACTGCTGCTCTAGACCCGTTTTTGTTCAGAAAAGACCTCGTTACCTTTTCGCAAAGGTACTAAAATTTCTCTTAATATATACTTTGCTTTGGAGATACAATGGTGTCCTAATTTCCTATCCTAAGTTTGTGTGGAAAAAATAGCTACTTAGCAATAAGGCCGCCCGTTGTATATTAGCTTTTGATATTCTTCTGTTCTGTGTTCGACGAGGGCAGAAATTCAATTATAACTTTTAACCTTCCGGGTACATATTTTAATATATGGAATAAGGCACACATATGTTTCAGCACCATTTCCCAGAAATCGAGACATCTGGTGAAGATAAGTACGTGAAATGGTATACAGAAATCGCACACAGAAATCTGAATATGGTTGCTACTTGGCAAGGTGAGGTTGCATTATGTTTATTGTGTTATTTTTGCAATATAACTGTTAAATGGCTTATGCACTTTTTTGTGTCGCCTTTAAACCGACGTCGTGTCATGGAGACACAAGATGTCCCTTAGGGCGCGTTCCCACTATGTCGTCACGATTTATTATCGTTGGACGACTGTCGAGTCTAGCCTGTTCCCATATCACGACTATCTGTCGTGGACGATTTTTTATCGTTGAACGACTGTCGTGACTAGCTGTTCCCACTAGGACTAGGACATGACGCCAATGGGAGTTGCGACAATCTGTCGTCACGTTTTTATCGTCTGACGACTGCCGTTCTAGCTGTTCCCACTGTGACGACAGTTTGTCGTTGTAATTATTAAAAATCGTGAACGATAGTTAATCGTGTCGTGCTATATGTGGGCAACTACATTTAAATATTCAAGGCACGACACTGTAAACTGCACGACAATCTGTCGTCACGACATAGCGGGAACGCGCCCTAACAATTTTTTTTTGGTAATTATAATAATAATAATAATAATAACGCACACACTCAACATAGCCCCGCACTAGGGAAACCCTGTGTCGCGGGTGCCATGGACACACATAGACAACCACAAATTACACCCAAACTCACGAGAGAAGTAAATGTAGGCCATACAAATATTTCTCCCGGCCCGGGAATCGAACCCGGGGACCTCTGCGTGGCAGTCCGGTATGGTAACCGTTCGGCCACGGAGGTAGTAAAATTAACCGACATCAAAAAAGGAGGAGGTTTCCAATTCGACTGTATTTTTTTGTATGTATGTCACGCGATTGCTCTGGCGTTTGTGAACCGATTTTGACGATTCTTTTTTGTTGGAAAGATGGTGTTTTGAAAAAGGGGATGAATCCGGTTTCGCGCTACTTCCGGTAATCGATTTCAATATAACTTGGTAAATAGATGTTATTCCACGAGTTTTTGAGGTCGGTTTTTTATAATTTAAATATTTTTCCTACTTCTCATGCTCCAGAAGTACGTCAATGTAGCCTTACGTAGCGGGAGTAAAGTGCATCAAGTCCCTAGTTTCCCTAGCTTCGGGTGAACAAACTCAAACAGCCAATACTTGCTCTAGTTTGTACCAAAATGTAAGATTTCAATAAGTGAAACAATATAATTAAAACTAAAACAACACTTAAAAGTAATCACATATTTTCAATAAGAACTTTGTTTTGTAAATCAAAATAAAAGTAAATTTAGATCATAATGATTCAAATTTTTATTGTATTACAAAAAGTCACACAGCCACCCATTGACTTACAAATAAATAGGTCAATGCAGCCACCGAAACAATAATTTTATTGCAAACCAAGTTTCCCGATCGCATAATATTAATAAATTCAACCGTTGAATGGCCAACTCGATCATGCGATTTAACACCGCTGGATATCTTTTTATGGGGTTATGTTAAAGACAGAGTTTATACGAAGCCAATCTAATCGATTGCAGCCTTAAGACTCAAAATTCGTGAAGTAATTAACGAAATAGACCCACCATTTTGTCAAAAAGTGATTAAAAATTTTGATGAAAGAATCGACATCTGTAACTGTGGTCGTGGTGGACATTTCGACTCATCCGAAGAACAGAGTCCGATGTGATTGTACAGCGAAAAGGGAATAAGTACGTTACGAGAATAGTTTCCTTATTAAAACTACGGCCTACGTAAAGGTGTTTCGAGAATTTATATATCTTATTTCATTTCGGAAATATTAAATCGAGCGGAACGGTCGATCTGACATTCACAGCGAAGAAGAACGAACGAAATGTAGTATGTCCTGAGAACAAGTAGTCTTGCATATAGATATTTGTTCTACGGATGAGTCGATTTATCAGATATCATTTTTCATTAATAATTGCCAAACCTTACTTCTTTAATACAATAAAAATTTGAGTCATTGTCATCTAAATGTAGTGTTTTATTTTGATTTACAAAACGAAGTTCTTGTTGAAATCCCTTTACAAAAATAAAAAAAATATAATTCAACATTAATAAGTAATTTGCTTACATATGACATAGCCGTTGACTTTCTTCAGGTTTCGGTTTCACACATGGCGTACTAAACACGGACAATGTGAGCGTGTTAGGGTTGACAATCGACTATGGCCCCTATGGGTTCATTGACTACTACAACAAGCATTTTGTGCCCAACACATCGGACGACATGGGCAGATACGCGTTTAATAAACAGCCGGAGGTTAGTGTTAATTTTACACTAGTACTCTATCGACATAGAATGTTTGATAACGAAACTTGACATAACTAATGCATTTGTATTTTGGTAATATTAGGCTGCGATTGTACCAGAGATGTGCGAGGAAAAAATCCACTAATAGGAAAAAATCCACCAATAGGATTATCAATAGGAAAAAATCCACCAATAAGCTTACCTACCAATAGGGAAAAATCCACCAATAGGATTATCAATTGGAAAAAATGTTTTTTCCTAGCCACGCTTACCAGTTCTCGTGGAAAAAGGCTCCCAGGAGCGTATGGGAAAATTAACTTTTTTGTATCAGAGTCAACTTTTTTATCAAGCGACGAACATTAAATCGCAAAGATCTGAGGGGCACTGCCACTGCGCCCGTTACCCTGAGACATAAGTTGACAAGTCCCATGTGCCTGTAATTACCAGCACCTTTACCCTTCTAAACTGGAACGCAGTCATGCTAACATTACTGCTTGGTGGCAGAAATAGGTAAGGTGGCAGTACTACCCTGGACGAACTCTTTCACAAGGAGCTCTACTGCTGCAAAGAAAGGTAATTGTCTGGCTCATTATTATTATTAGAACTCCATGCCACGTATTTCTGCCGCCAAGCAGTAATGTGAGTGATTACTGCGTTTAGGTTTTGAAGGGTAAGGATGCCATGAAACTACAGGCACATGGGACTTGTCGACTTCACATTTCAAGGTCACTGGCGCAGTGGCAGTGACCCTCAGACCTTTGCAGTTTTAGTTTTAAGTGGCACTGTTCGATACCTTCAATGAACAATACGCCAACTTTATTGTTTGGTCTATTTGTGTATATATGAGTGTGTACATATTCTGTTATTTTTGTAAACATTCATATTTATATTATGCTCCCCGAATTTTGTGAAAAAGTTAAAGAATCAAAAATAAAAATAAACAAAATAAATAATAATAAAAAGCAACCTGTGGGTGAAGTATACGCAGAGAACCCTGAATACATTAAAGGTGCAATATAACAACGCTTTTAGGATGCTAATGGGGCTGCCGCGACATGTTCACGGAGGCGTACACAGATGGCTTTCATGCCATTATGCGCAAGAAGGTTGCCTCACTCATGATGCGTGTGCGCGGCAGCGCTTATGGCATCCTAACCGTCGTTGTCAACTGGCTGGACTGCCCCTACCAACTACATTGGGTGCAACTACAAGTGCGTAGGGTAGTGGTCTAGACGTGGCATTTCACTAGAACTAAGTAATTTTGTATTGTACGCACGTAAGAAAAATTTACTGTATAACTAACATTACTATGGATCATGGTCCGAAATAAATGATTCCATTCTAAAAAACAAAATTGAATAAAGAGTCATAAATAATCTAATAACCTTGGTTGATATAATGCGCATGATTATAATTTTCAGATCATTCTGTGGAACTTAGGGAAGTTTGCGGAAGCATTGCAGCCAATCCTGAACGAAGACCAGAAACAGAAAATTAAAGACGTAAGGAGCACTCTAGAGGATTACGTTAACAAGAGAGTTTTGTGAGTACTGCACTCATTGTATATAATCTGTTTACAAGTATCGCTGTCTATATTGAAAGTGATTCGTACCAATTTTGAATAAAACTCTAGAAATGAATCATGGAAACGTTGGTAGTGTGGCGAGGTGTATCTTGAAAAAAAACACTTGTACATATTATTCCGTATACCCCTTACAAAAATAATATTAAACAAAATAATCCTCTGTGCAGAATGTGTGGGTATTATAACGGAATATGTACAATTGTGATATCTTTAACTGCGGTGTCCTTGCTTTAAAGGATATATTCATATTAGATTTTAGGAGGTGAGGTGTGGGGGGCCGCCACTCGTATCCCGCAATCTGCGCGCTCTAAATTTATATGAATAAAGTTAGAAGAGGCGGAGAAAATTTGACACAGATCCGACGTTGACAAGCGTCCGATGGCGACTGACGGGGTAACAGGCCGCGCGGTGTTCGTTAAACTGCTGGGCAATATTCAATATACCATAGGGCCAGGAGAAATATTGGTATGGCCTACATTTATTTCTCTCGTGAGTTTGGGTGTAATTTGTGGTCGTCTATGTGTGTGTCCATGGCACACGCGACACAGGGTTTCCCTAGTGCGGGGCTTTTTTTTATATATAATAGACACACGGTTGGCCACAATCTCACCTAATGTTAAGCGACGATGTGACCGACGATGGACGCGTTTGCCTAAAAAATGCCTATTCACTCTAGCCTTGAATAGCCCCAAATTGTACTTTTCGGGAAATACAGATACCATAGAGTATTCCATTCCTTTGCCGTACGCACCATAAAGGAGGATGCAAAGAGCTTAGTGCGAATTGGTGGTATATCACCATGGATCCGGACCTTCTAGTAGACTGAAGGAGGAATGGTGAGGGTGGAACTAAATTGAAAAGTTCCTGCGCATGCTCCCCGAAATTTATGCGATGGCTATGTTGAGTGTGTGCGTTATTATTATTATGTTTATTTTAAACATAATAATAATAATAATAATAATTATTATTATTATTAAGCTTTGGGGTAAATGTGAATTTCATACCTATAGGGCTTAAGTTAAAAAACAAAATTATAGCTATTTTATTCTGAAATAATTAGTTGTAGACTTTTATAGGAAATGAAACTGTCATGACTCAAAGTCAAAGTCAAAGTCAAGTCAAAGATTATTTAACCTAACCTAAACTTTTATTCCATAGGTAAAATAAATTTACACTTGAAATCGTCACATTTAAGCTACTGCTCGTTCACTACGCTGACCTCCCTGAGAAGAACGAGCAAGAAACTCTAGGGATTGCTCTTTTCAAATAAATTCAAATGCTATGAAATACACTTTGAATCAAATTTGTGTGGATTCTGGAGCCATGGGTTACCATGATGACTTAGCTCTAACGTTAATATTGAGGATATCTTCTTTCTTATTGAAAATATGTATATTTTTACGAGCATATAAAATATTTGAGTAAATGTACTGTGATGCCACAGTCATGATACCAGTCTCCTTAAACTTTTCTCTGAGAGAAACCCGAGAGCCTAGACGGTACACAGAACGAATCGCTCGTTTTTGCAATACAAATATGGTTTGAATATCTGCCGCTTTACCCCACATGAGAATCCCGTAGGACATTATACTATGGAAGTAACTAAAGTAAACTAGTCTAGCAATACTAACATCGGTAAGCTCACGTATTCTGCGGACTGCGTATGCAGCGGAGCTTACCCTGCTGGCCAGGGAAGATATATGTGGAAACCATTGAAGTTTACTATCTAAGGTCACTCCCAAGAAGTCTCATGTCAACCGAGACCATGGGGCCTGTAAAGGGCCTGAAACGTCGGTTTGTTTGATAAAACAAATATACGCGATTTAAATCCAGAAAAACAGGTTCATTTCCTATGTGTAACAATACGTGAAAACCTAAGAACTCGATATGTAGACTTTTATATTATTCTGTTTTCGGGATTTTATATGATCGGATAAAGTACATCCTATCATGTAACGAATTACCATATTCTTTAGACAATATCCTTAAGTGTATCGTATATTTGTCGTAAGCTCGTTATTTAATAGTTTTTTTCCATGCTGGTCTGCCACAAAGTTCTCTGGTCCGAATCCCGGGCCGGGGGAAATATGACTTACACTTATTTGACTTATCTGAGACTGCCCCCGGAGTATCGCTGCGCATTTCTCTCTGCGGTATTGCAGAGCGCGCTAGATGATACCGCGGCGGGAAGCACCGGTATGCGACGCAATCCACGCGTATGAATTACCCGAGGTCTTTTCGCTTACGTAGTCGCTACTAGAAGGGATTCAAATCCCAGCTACTGGTGTCATGTTGGCGGATGTCGCGTCAAGGGATATCCCTTATCAGTGAGCTCTGGTGGGCAAAAGATCCTCTTCGATACTATCCTCCGCCATCCGCCTTTTTGCACTGTGTTTTATGATGCAATTTTCGATTTGACAGGTCAACGTATCTGCGAAAACTGGGCCTAGAAGAAATGCTAGACGGTGATCAGAATTTAGTTGATGACGTCTTGCAGCTAATGGAGCAGACTATGGCAGATTTTACAGGGACATTTAGACAGCTTGCTGAGGTACAAAAGTCTTGAACATTGCATGCCATTACAGTTTAATAAGAGAAGGTAATATTTCTGAAAAAACATAAATTGTTATAGTGTTCTGCGTCATCACAAATTTTTTTTATAATATCAAGTGACTGAGCGAACATTAAATCGCAAAGATCTGAGGGGCACTGCCACTGCACCCGTCACCCTGAGACATAAGTTGACAAGTCCCATGTGCCTGTAATTTCGCCAGTACATTTACCCTTCCAAACCATAAACATAATAATGCCCACATTACTGCTTGACGGCAGAAATAGGTGGCAGTACTTCCCTGGGTGAACTCTTTCACGAGCTCTATTGCTACTAAAGCAATAGAAATGACATTCTGCACAGTTCTACATTTGAGGCACTATTGTGTAAATAACCATGGAATGTCTACGAACACAATTGTATAATGGCGCGTGGGACGCGAGTGCACCGCGAGATTATACGAATGTGTGCATCCGTGCACGGCGCGTGTGCACATTTACAAGCTGCGCTGCTAAGTTTATATGGGGTTACGCTGCTGGTCTTATTATACGGTATTTTTTTATTTATTTAAACATTATTGCACACAAAATAGTACAAATGGCGGCAGGGTTGGAAAAAATCATGAGTTTTAAAAAAAAAATCGAATAAAGCACGATTTTTAAAAAAAAATCTTAATGAATCACGATTGTTTTGATTTTTTCATTTTATCATACATTTTAACTATATTTTTGCCTGAAATGTAGTAATGTTAAAGGTTAATCATGTGGTAGATAAAAATAAATTAAAAAAAATGTGACACCACTAGAGTGGTGGATGTCACAGAAAAATATATTTAGTGAAGAGGAAAAGTCAAAGATTGTTCAAAGTCAAAGTCAAAGATTATTTATTGCATAGGTAAAATAAATTTACACTTGAAAACGTCACATTTAAGCTACTGCTCGTTCACTACGCTGACCTCCCTGAGAAGAACGAGCAAGAAACTCTAGGGATTGCTATTTTCAAATAAACTTAAATGCTATGGAATACACTTTGAATCAAATTTGTGTGGATTCTGGAGCCGTGTCGTTTTTCCAATGGTTAAGCAATTGTTTGGAGCGATAGCTTCGTCAGCTGAAAGAGTGTTTTCCACCTTTGGAATTGTTCATAGTAAATTAAGAAACCGACTGGGAATTGAAAAGGCTGGCAAGCTATTTTTTTTGTTTAAGTAATTATAATAATGATATTGATTTCTCAGATCCTAGTCTTTAGTAGCAGTAGCTTGAATGTGACGTTTTCAAGTGTAAATTTATTTTACCTATGGAATAAATGATCTTTGACTTTGACTTTAAAACGTAATTGTCTAATTTTATGTTGATTTCTGTGAAAGAAAATAAAATTATACACATTCGATTAAATCACTGATTTTTGTTGAAAAAATAATTTGATTTAAATCAAAACGGTTTAATCTTGCCAACCTTGAATGGGGGACTTAATACTATTAGGCCTTTAATGAGATTTTCTTGCGAAGTAACTCCACTAGTTTTGTTGGGATTATGAATACAAATTTCGTACACACAGAAACATTTCGTCGACCCGGTGGGGCTTGAACCCACGTCCATGCTGCACCGTAGCATTGCTCTTACCAACTGAGCTACGGAAATTCTCCTATGAGTTTTTGTTTTTTTTTTTAATTTATTTATCTTGTCAATTACATTTTTTTACAAATAAGATAATGTTCTCCCAAACTTCATAAAAGTTTATCGGGAGAGTTTGGTTGCTACGCTTACATTACAATCATAACATTTCATTCTGTTACTCAATTACAGCTCTCTAAATTACTACAATGTATCTAACAAATATTTCTTTAATTCATTTTTTATGTAACTTTTATTACCTTGCAAACATTTTAAGTGTGAAGGAAGATCATTAAATAATGTTGGAATTAAATAGGCCTTCGTCCTTTTTCCATACACATTGTTTGTTTTAAAAATCTCGTACCTGCCCACCGCTGCTTGTCTTGTTGGATAGTTATAGCGTTTTGGTACTTTATACTCATTACTTGAATATTCTTGCAGCATTTGATAAAGCATAATTTTTTTTTCTGCGGGAATTATGTTACAAATTTTAAATAATATATCATAATTATGCATTCTTTTACACTCACTACGCACTTTCCTATCGGCTATAGTTATAGTTTGTTATAGATCTTTGTACTGGCTTTCGATATTTGTTGCAGCTAGTGACATATAGTGAGAGATTTTTGAATAACCTCACCATTAATCATTGTCTACCAGTCAACCAGAGAGCTGGGTTTACTTCTGTGAGATAATTTACGGCTAGGTCTTGTTCAGGATTTGATGAAGCACAGGATCACTTAAAAATTTTATCGACCATCGGGATTTATCAGATATAAAAGCGCATTCCATATTAGTGTGCAAACGAATTGTAGGTAAATAAGCATCCGACTTGGTATTGTATTTGCAGGTAGACAATAAAGATTTGCTAGACAAATCTGTATTGGAATCACAATGGTCGTTGAACAAGATTCGTGAGGCTTCCAGGTGGGAGGAGTGGGTGAAGAGGTATCGGCAGAGATTGGAAAAAGAAAATGGTAGGATATCATAGAATCTTATATATCTATAACCAGAAATAGAGACGAAATGTCATTTAATTTGTTTGAAAACTATTCTGCCAAATCATTACGGTGACAACTGCGCTCTGATTGGCCAGCCCGAATTCGAAACAATTGACGGGTGTCGTCTATTGTTTCACTTCAAATCGTCCAGTTTAACTTAAGCTTTGCTATAATGGGCGAAAATTGAAAAATTACACATTTAATATTTAATTCCCGATGAAATGTGATTTCGTTTGTTTTGTAATTGATGTTTTGCTGTTTTTCCCACACCACCGAATGGATCAGGGGGGCTGATTGTTAGAGATATTGTCTTTGTTGCAATAAATACAGAATATTTTTGGAATATACGGAGACGTACACACAGGTCAGTAGTTGGCGCTGTGCTATTTCAGCTTTCTAATTCCTGATTCAGCGCAAACGAGAGTTGATATTTAAAAGTGATATTAGGCCCATTTGCTTGATGAGTTGCCAGGGGTGGATGGCCCTTATTTCGTCTCTATTTCCGGTTATATACTCGATGCTAATCAATTATACTGCAGCTATTCTTGATTTTGTCGCCTTAATTGTGTCAAAAATTTTGAAAAAAGTTGGCCGAGTAGAAGTCGGACTTAAAGTTGAGCCACATAGTAACATTATAAATCAGTACAGAGTACTTAAAAAACCGACCTCAAGAATTCGTGGAATTACATCTATTTGCCAAGTTTTATTGTAATCGGTTACCGGAAAGTGCGCGAAACTGGATTCAAACCCTGATCAAATTTAAATGGGACCACTACCGAGGTACAGTCTTTCCAACAAAGAAAAGAATCGTCAAAATCGGTTCAAAAATGCCGGATTTCTCGCGTAACATACATACAAAAAAAAAAACAATCGATTTGAGAACTTCCCCTTTTTTTTGAAGTCGGTTAAATAGTACTTTTTGAAATTTTAATTGCTAGTCTGATTGTTTTCGTTCAATCAATATTCCATATTTACTTTTAAACATCTCCAAGATTTGTAGTACTTCTTTTTTAAATGCATAAGTAATGCTCTAATTATGACAGTAGCCACTGTGGAGACTTTGAAATCAAGAAAAATAGGAAATTCATGTGCTAAATGTGTTTGCAGTGTCTGAAGATGTTCGTCGAAATCGTATGTTGAAAGTAAATCCCGTGTATGTGCCAAGAAACTGGATCCTGCAAGAGGCTATCGCTGACGCGGAGAAAAATAATTTTGAAAAAGTAAGTTAAAATTACAGAAATGTAGAATAAATGTTGATATTTCACTATTGCATTGCAAGTTCACTTTAAAGGGTCAATTCAGTCAGTCCCGATTCTTTTTAACAGACTTCAAAAAATTAAAAACCAGCAAAGGAAAGAAAAAACAAGTGCCTACCAAATTAGTCAATTGTTGTTATCTGAAAATATAATTAAAAAAAAAAACTATTTCATTGACAATTGAAATGAATAGACAAGCCATTTGGCACTTATTTTAATCAACTTGTTATTGAATATCGTCAGAAAAATCTTTTTGAATTTATCCCGTGTGCAGCGTGATGTAACTGTTACTTAATCTGCCACTCCTCCCGCACCGCGCAGCTACCTCAGGAACCGACTCAGTTAAGCGGTAGGCCTGTAATAAAAAATCATAATATTCATTACAATCAATATTACAATAAAGTACACAGTTCAGAATTGAAAATTATTGTGGATGATAACTGTAATAAATTACTAAATATGGAAATTTGTACAGTACAACCACAATATACCAAGCAAGTTAACAATAATCTCAGTACAGAGTACTAAAAAAATCGACCTCAAAATTACGTGGAATTACGTCTATTTGCTAAGTTTTATTGAAATATCCCCTAGTTCGCCACTATACAGGACTTGACATTGGAGATAATAATAATCTGTTCCCACTGCTCAACATATATTGAGAGAAAAACGCCTTGAATTGGAGAAATAGCAAAATAAACCATTAAAATAATTGCTCCTAAATTAAAGTTAGGTGCTATTTATAAAAATGAATCTTCATGCGTGAACAGCCACCCTTAAAGGTGGATGATTTTCTTCAAAATGAAATGGGACCACTATGGAAGTACCCCCTTTCCAACAAAAAAAGAATCATGAAAATCGGTTCACAAATACCGGAGTTATTGCGTAACATACATATAAAAAAAAAGAACATACAGTCGAATTGAGAACCTCCTGCTTTTTTGAAGTCGGTTAAATATAGAAGCTAAATAAAGACTAGGAGCTACTTCATATACTTCCAACTCAATTGAGTGCAGCCAGTATAATTTAAAGGGCTACTTGTTAGTTAACCGACGACAGCCGAAACACGAAGATTGCCGAAAGATATTAATTAAAATGTACTTTATGCATACACATTTAATGATATAATTTTGTAAGCAAGTACTTTCATTTACCTTTCTTTCCATAGGTGAGATTTCTTCTTAAAGTGCTGCGTACTCCATATGATGTGGACGAAGAAGCTGAGAAACGAGGTTACTCATCACAGCCACCAAGTTGGTCTTATGGACTTAAACTTAGTTGTTCTAGTTAGTTCTACTAAGATTAATTTTTAATGAATATTTACACGCTAAATGGAAGAGTACATCATATTATGTGATATATAAAATATAATTAGATTTACATACTTATTTGCAATATATAACTTTCTCAAATATAATAATAAATTATTTGACCGGCCGTTGTCAAACGGTTCTAGGGGCGGTAGATAAGGTCTCGGGTATGATTCCTAGTAGGTCCAATTTGGAATATTTGTTCCTGTTTTGGGTAGTGCTCTGGAATAAATTTCAGTGCTCTGGTACTCGTAGTACAGGGAAATTCCTAGTTTAAAACCAGGTAATTGGTCTAACAGTCTGGCACAATTGTTATAATGTTATAAAGGGTACAACTATATACCATAGTTCCAAAAAACTGTATATGCAGTTAGACTGCATGAAATGATCTAATCTGGTAGAAAGTTTTATTGATATATTGAGTAGATTATAGCTTGGATCAGTGTATTAGGTACTATTTAATCCGTAACAAGAAAACAGTCGCGAGTAAAAGTTAAATGATATAGCGATTGTATATTGTAAAGGGTTGGTTTCCGTAACTTAGTTTAGTAGAGCTCCTTGATGGGTAAGGATGCTGGTCAATTACTGGCACATGGGACTTGTCAAATTTGCTTGGGGTAACTGGCAACTGGCTTTCTTTGCGATTTAGGGTGTTTTCCCATTATGTCGTGACGACAGATAGTTGTGCAGTTTAAAGTGTTGTGGCTTGTATATTTAAATGAAGTTGCTCACACATAGAACAACACAATTAACTGTCGTTCAAGCCTTTTTTGACGTTACGGCGACACTATCGTGACAATGGGAAGAGCTAGAACGACAGTCGTCAGACGATAAAGCTTCACGATAAAAATGTGACGACAGATAATCGCAACATCAAACGAATCTGTTGTGCAAACGACAAAGCGGTTGCCGTGAACCGATAAACTGTCGTCACGATCTAGTGGGCAGCTAGACACGAGTCGTTGAACGATAAAATAAAACCCATTAAAGCCCTGCGACTATTATGAGCAGGCATGTCGCTTACCACCAGACACTCGATTTGTAAGTCTAGTCTAATTTTTAAGCACAATTCCAGGTTGTAGTGACTAGAGTGCAAGATCCCAGTGCTCGTGCCACCAGAGCTCCAGGATTCTTAGCATCCTCTTGTGTATTTGTGTAGTAAATGTATAAGGGTGCTTGTGAGAAAAATCTTTAATATATTTGTTAATGAATATATTTTTTTGTTATTTACATTTTGGTTTTATTGTTTCACATCTCTTCTTCATTGCTTTATTGAATACTGTCTAATATTTGACCAGCAAATCACAACATAATTGCATAATGATAATTTTCTTTCAGAAACATAATTATTAGCAACTATAAAATTAAGTTAATTTTTCATAGTTTCAACAAACTGAAAAACTGAATTATTCATAATCTTCATCAGCACTATCATCAGGTTCTGAATAGTCCTCATCAACTTCAATCTTCCTTCTTTTCCTTACCTGGACATTCTCCTTATCCTCTTCCTTATCTGTTTTATCAGCAACAACCTGAGCAGATCGGTGGTGGAAGACAAAAGATATACTCTTAGCCAAGTCCCAACATTGCTTCAAGACCAAATCTGCCAAATTCTTTTTGTCAGCACAGTGGTACCAGTTTGACAAGTCTGAAGTACAATCGGAGTTCTCTGGAGGGAGTGTCACTTGAATATTATTAATGCACCTCTTGCACTTAAATTTGCTGTGAGTGTCTGATAAAGTGTTTTCTTCTAAACGGAACAAGTCCTTCAGATCTTCTGATGTGAAGTGACGTAATGATTCTTCATTTTGGTCAACTACTGTGTCACTTAACGCTTTCTTATGTGCCTGACGCTGGAAAATTTTTTCTTCTATTGTTCCTGTTGCTAGTAACCTGTAGATATAGCAAGGCTTCTTCTGACCATCACGCCAAACGCGAGCCATAGCTTGATCATCATTAGCAGGATTCCAATCTGGGTCAAACATAATCAGACGATTGGCTCCAATGAGGTTTAACCCACATCCTCCAGCTTTAGAACTTAGCATGAAGATCCATTCTTTTGAGTCTTTATTGTTGAAACTCTCAACTACTTTGGCGCGTTTTTTAATCGTCATCGAACCGTCAAGCCTCACATACTGGTAGCATCGTTTACGACAAAGTTTTTCAAACAAATCCAAAGTTTGAGTGTAGTTCGACACAAGAACAATTTTATCATCTGTATTGGTCTTCAAATTAGCCAATATGCAATCTAAAATCATCAACTTGCCAGAGAATTCTGGTTTCACATCTTTAATGTCATAATTAGCTGGTAGAAGGCTTCTGGCCTTCTCAAAGCCTTCTGAGCCTTCCATAATCTTATCATACACCAAATCTGGATGGTTGCATAGTTTCTTCAGGGTTGTGATGCTTGATAAAGCACTGAGTGTGTTTTTATCTCCAGTACCAGTGAATTTATTTCTAATAGCATCTGAGTTGATGAAATTCTTGTAGATCTGTGTTTGGAGGGGAGTCATTTTAACGCAAATGACCTGTTCAAACTTAACTGGCAAGTATTTAGTAAGTAAGCTGCTTGTCCTTCTGATCATGCATTTATTGACAATCGAAGTTAATGTTTGAAGGCATTCCTGTGCTTTTTCTCTTTCTTGCTGTGTAGCCAGTGCATCCTGACCTCTCAAGATAGGATTTTCATATTTCTTTTTGAACTCAGCAGCTGTTCCAAGTATGCCTTCATTGACAAAATGTACCAAGCTGAAGTATTCTGTCAGATCATTTTGAATTGGTGTGCCTGAGATCAATATCCTCCTTTTTGCTTTCAAGCCCATTAAAGCCTGATATGTTTGGTTCTCACTGTTCTTCAATCTGTGGCCCTCATCGCAAAGCACCAAACCAACCTCAGACGAGTGCAAAATGTTGGCGTAAATCCTGAATGTTTCGTAAGAAATGATCAAGACAGGTGTGGCAACCCTAGTCACGGAATAAGTATTCATGAATTGCTTCAATTTCAATGTAATATCTGCTTTAGATCCTCCGTCCATTGGAAGAGCATTTATTCTCTGTCCAAGCCATTTCCCAATCTCATTGTACCAGTTTTTAACCAAACTACTAGGGCATACAATAATTGCTTTGCAAATAGTGGGCTTACAATCTGGACTTTGCCGCAAAAGAGTCCACAACAGTGTTATACACTGCAAAGTCTTTCCTAAACCCATTTCATCAGCCATAATACACCCGTACGCGTTTTCAATCTGAGCTCCAGTTACACAATCGTACATGAACTTAACGCCTTCTCTTTGATGAGGTCTAAGAATGTTTCCCAGCACTGGGTCGACTACTACAGCCACTTTTATATCATTCGGGTTCATTTTCATCTTTTCATATTCTGGAATATACGGTGGACGGAATAAAACAAGAGCATTCGGCTCATCCGCGTCGTGTAAGGCGCGCCTAACCTGCGTTCGCTTTAGTCCCAAACTTTTGCTGCAATATGATGATATGTAGTTCGGAATAGGTACTTTGAAGGGTTTACTCAGTATTTGTTTGATCAGATTCTCGTGGTCAGACGTTGACATCGCTTGGGATGGAGATTTTTGAGCAAGAGAAATTCGTACACACTCCCGCTTTTTTCGTTTGTTCTTATCAAGTAAGGGGCTCTTGAAAACGCTGTCTCCAGCGCCGATCTGGCTCGGCGCCAAGCTTCGCCTCATGTTAAACTTCTAGCGTCTAAAATGTTAAGAAATTATGTTAATTAATTACTTCAAAATCGACAAATACGAAACGAAAACTGCCTTGTTTGTAAACTTCTGTTTTTGACGTTTTGCGTCACATTCACATCCAGTGCTGTCAGGTAGGGAGATCCTCTTTGCCTTGAGTTGAATATTATACGTTTCGTTACGATACTATATTTATAACGCTATGTCATGTCAATTTGCGTTATGTCAATTTAGACGTTGCAAGTTTTAAGAAATTGATGTGACTTCTTTTTTGTATTATGAGATCATTGATGTGACTATTATGCTTTCAATTTTAATTTTACAAAATGTATTCTGTATAGATTAACGAATTCATAAATTTCAAAAAATATTTCTTTCTAATGGATATTACAAACAAATAATTTCGTAAAAAATATTTAAAAAATATTTGTTGTATTCTAACGGTAATACAAGAGTGCATTTTGATGTCTGTGATCTGATTTGTGGCACACAATGTTTTCATAATTTCATAATGTTGTACCAAGCTAGACACTCGTAAAATAAGATGTATAGATGCAGTCGTATACAACGATAACTGCGTGAAATGGAAAGACCAAATATATATGTAAAATGTGACATAATGACATGACATTGACAGTTACCAAAGAAGTTTTGAAAGTTACGTGCCATTTTCCATTCGCGACGTTCAACAAGTGAAAAGTGTGTATCACAGACCACGTGGTGTGTACACTGTTAAGCCACGCAGAGCTCGATTCCCGGGCCGGGACAAGTATTTGTATGGCCTACATTTATTTCTCTCGTGAGTTTGGGTGTAATTTGTGGTTGTCTATGCGTGTCTCCATGACACCAGCGACTTAGAGTTTCCCTAGTGCGGGGCTATGTTGAGTGTGTGCGTTATTACTATTAAATAAATAAATAAAATGTTTGTTTCAGTAATACAATTAACTTTATGCAAAAGTGCGTTCGTTCGATATTCATAGCGTATTAACAAAGGATCACAAATATATCGCACCAAGTAAAAGCCGCAATGTATTACAAACATGAGGCATACACTGTGTTGCATATTTGTTTCCTCGAAATTCATACAAAACCAAAATAATTGTTTTTAAAATAAATTATGCATGTTCTGATTACAAAATCACTTGCCCGTGGAAGGAAACGTCCCTGCATACCCGTTTACCCACACAGTTATGGTGCTTTTGCAGTTTATAATGGCACAATTATGCATTTTTCGCGTTTTCGACTGATGTTTATGTACGATGACGGTCGAGCGCGTTCTGAAGTGTAGCAGCGGCAAGTAAGTGAATTTCACTTACTTTGGGCACGCGAAGTACGTACACTTGCGGCGTCAATCTAGATATATGTCTGTGGGTAATAGCAAACAATTTTGACGATTTCACACGTTACTTGATATCGAACGATATGGCAGTTGGGGCCGATTCTAGTTTGTCTATGAATTAAAAATAAAAACTACGGTTGTGTGACAGGCGTGAGAAAAGTTTATATTTGCCGCCATTTCGCCAGTCGTAACATGCGGTTTCAGAACACATCACAGAGAGCTTAAAATATATGTGTAGATAGAGCAGTCTAGTGTATGCAACTGTACATAATTAGGCATTAAAACACTCGTGAGACGTTTTTATGAAAAACCCACGCTCGTGTTTTAATGCTTTTCATTATGTAACAGTCACATAACTACTATTATGTTCTAGTGCCTAAAATAGGATTTTATGCTCTAGTTCTAGTAAATAAAAAAAAAACACCACATTAAATATGTCTAATTGTTGTAATTTTACATTCAATTTTAATTAAATAATCGTTTATTTGTAATCTTGTTGTTTAATTTCCTCGCAATCTAAGTGAAAAGCAGTTCATAAAACCCATTTTACCCTCGACTTAAGTATCCATTCTCGCTTACGGCTCGGGTGGATATACTCGTCTCGGGTAAAGTGACGCGTTTTATGCACTTGTTGTACAATCTACTATTTTGATGCTGCATGTCTGTAAGTTGTACGACATTATCGCTCTATAATCACTTTTGAATGAACACATGAATTCTGAAATTTTCTGTATCTCCTTCTCAGTACCATTTATTTCCATTCATCATTATCTAGCAATTATTAATTTATAAACTGAACGAGGGAAAAAGGAAGAAAACAATAAATTGCACGATAAAATATCACCTATATGTTTATTACTAATTAAAAAAAATTAATTATCATTTTATGTTATAAATTTATTTTATTACACAGTCCTTAAAAATGCAAGAAAACAGCATACAATTTTACTAATTATAACTAATGGATTAGTTCCTGTACTGTCGTTGAGGTACTAAAGAAGGACGTCCATTTTAATATGTAGTAAATAAGTAGACCCCAGAAGAGTATACGGAATATCTTATCAACGATCCACAATCTGTAACAAATTCGTAGTAAACAAGAATTTTCATACTTCATAAGCAAATACAATACAATTTTCGCACCCTTGGGCCACATCTGCAAAATGGCAACATTTCAGAAAAGAGGTTTAAAGATTCTATAAACAAAATTAGTCGATAACTTTTTATTCTTAGCAGTTGATATATTTTTTTACAAAACAAATTATACCATCTGAAAAATGCATAATTTAGTTCAGTTGATATAAAAAAAAATCATTGGTATGTGGAAAGTACCTATTGACTACAGCGGTTATCTTATAAAATTTCGCGGTCAGTTTGTATTATTTTCTACCACGAAAATTTTTAGGAATCGTGTTTTCATACCGCATAGAAATCGGTACGTATCCTCAATGTCACTATAATATTTTTTCCGAAGTGATTGATTCAATACTGCTATGTGGAATCAAGCAAAGCCGTTTGAGGTTGCAATGACCCTTAAATGCGAGTTATATAAAATTTCACATGTAGATACATAATTAGTTTCATGTAGGCGGTTCGTGTTATTTTTATGACTTTTGTGAGTACAAGTACATTGACGTATGATCACATGTGGCTTTATTAAATAATTAATATTCGTTTAGTAAATTGACATGGACCCATTTAGTGTTACAGTAATATTTACACTAATGTTAGTATATGTACACAAACAGCACAGAAGGCAAAA